CTCTCAAAAAAAAAACAAAAAAACAAAAAAAACTTTCTCGTTTTACTTCACATATTCCTCTGTTTGTTTTTTACAACTCCCCATCCCCATTGTTTTACATACCCATGTAAGCTACCTTAAATTCCTCCTGAAAAGGGCAGAGAATTAACAATTTTTTAAGTAATGTATTTATTTATAATTATAATACACAATTTCTTCAAGACCTACTGTGTTTAAAGTTCCTTGCCCCTTTACCAGTAAGGCCCCAAAACCACTGTTTTCCTTTCTTCTACATGCTGTTTATAGATGCTCTCCTCTCTTACAGTCCTTGCCTCTTTGCTGTTTCTACACTACTATAAATTTAGAAACCCAATAACCAAGCTTGTCAGACTATGTGCAAATTGAAAGTAAACAGGCTGATGAAAAACAAACCAACCATGATCTGTGTTAAGACGATTAAAAAATAAAAACAAACCAATTATAGGATAGCTTAAAAATAAAATGCGCCGAGCGCGGTGGCTCAAGCCAGTAATCCCAGCACTTTGGGAGGCCGAGACGGGCGGATCACAAGGTCAGGAGATCGAGACCATCCTGGCTAACACCGTGAAACCCCGTCTCTACTAAAAATACAAAAAATTAGCCAGGCGAGGTGGTGGGCGCCTGTAGTCCCAGCTACTTGGGAGGCTGAGGCAGGAGAATGGCACGAACCCAGGAGGCGGAGCTTACAGTGAGCCGACATCGAGCCACTGCACTCCAGCCTGTGCAACAGAGCGAGACTCTGTCTCAAAAAAACATAAAAAAATAAAAAAATAAAATAAAATGCATTTAAAAAAATAAATAAAATGCATAAAACACACTTTGATAACATCTATTCAGTCCACTATTTTGTCTACTTAGAGTCTGGTTTTGTCTTAACTTCCTAATACTCAACTTTAATTGCTGCTTCCCACATTGGTGAAGTATTTCTGCAACATAAAACATCATTTGTCCCAATTATTTAAAAATGTAGAAATAATATTTAGGCAACTAAATGTTAAAGATATGCTTGTAATTTACAAAAACAAACAAAAAAGTGTAAAGGAAAGTAAAACATGCAAAACAAGTTCTTTTTCAGAATGCTTTCCATGCAAAAGTACATATCTCTGGGAGAAATGAAAAACATGAAAATACTAAACCTATTCCTGACTTAAACAACTGTCCTTGAACATTCTTTTTTTTTTTTTTTTTTTTTTTGAGACGGAGTCTCACTCTGTTGCCCAGGCTGGAGTGCAGTGGTGCCATCTCAGCTCACTGCAAGCTCCGCCTCCCAGGATCACGCCATCCTCCTGCCTCAGCCTGCCAAGTAGCTGGGACTACAGGCTCCCACCACCACGCCCAGCTATTTTTTTTTTTTTTTGTATTTTTAGTAGAGATGGGGTTTCACCATGTTAGCCAGGATGGTCTTGATCTCCTGACCTTGTGACCCGCCCGCCTTGGCCTCCCAAAGTGCTGGGACTACAGGCGTGAGCCACTGCGCCTAGCCTCTTTTTTGTTTGTTTGTTTTTAAGACGGAGTCTTGCTCTGTTGCCCAGGTTGGAGTGCAGTGGTGTAATCTTGGCTCATTGCAACCTCTGCCTCCCAGGTTCCAGCAATTCTCCTGCCTCAGCCTCCCGAGTAGCTGGAACTACAGGCGCACGCCACCACACCTGGCTAATTTTTGTATTTTTAGTAGAGACCAGGTTTCACCATGTTAGCCAGGCTCGTCTCCAACTCCTGGTCTCAGGTGATCCACCCATCTCAGCCTCCCAAGGTGCTGGGATTACAGGCATGAGTTACCGTGCCCAGCCTCCCTGAACATTCTTGATAGGCTAAAAAATAATAATAATAATAATAATAATAATAATTCAAATCAGTAACTCTGACACTATTTGGATAAACTGGTAAATGTATGCAAATAAGGTTATTCTGATTTGTTACATTTTCTAAAATCCCATTCTTACCTATCAGTATTTAAGTTCAGTCCAAGAGAATGCAGAGAATTTTTATCAGATTCTACAGAAGATGAAGTTTTGTGTAAGGTTTTCACCAAGTCAAACTCTTCCATAGTGTAAAGAAATTGTTACATTCTCTTATTTGAAAATAAAGGTTCTTGGACTGTTTGAGGAAAGTGAATCCGTGTCATCTTCAGAGGCTTCATCGTCTACTGGCATTTTCAGTGGCTAACATTCAGAACTGTGAAATATCCTAAACTTCCAAGAGAGTCTGAAAATGAATAGGGGAAAAGAAACTACTATAAAAAGCCACTAAACCTAGCAACTGCTTTTACATAACTTTGGAAACCTGAACTTCTTTCATGCAGATCTCCATTAAGGATAGCAACAGTATTCATAATAATCAAAATGTAGAAACCACCCAAATGTCCATCAGTGGCTAAATGGATAAACGAATGAAGCATATCCATAGAACAGGATAGGATTCAGCCATAAAAAGACATATGCTACAACACAGATGAACAGTGAAGCTACTATGCTAAGTAAAAAAAGCCAGTCACAAAAGACCACAGACTATATGATTTCATTGATATGAAATATCTTGAATTGGCAAATTTATAGACAAATGGCTGCCAGGAGCTGGAGGAAGGAGAGAATGTGAGTGAGTGCAGTTGGTATGGAGTTTCCTTTGGGGTGATAAAAAATTCTGGAATTAGTGATGATGGCTAGACAACCTTGTGAACTAAAAACCACTGAATTGTACACTTTTAAAAGGCTGAATTTTATGGTATATGAATTATGTATTATGTATCTCAATTAAAAATCTACATCAAGGATTATTTGCAAAAGTAGCATCACCTTTTTCAGGTAATATTTCAGATTTTTATATGTTTAATAATCAACGTTCTTTTTTTTAGAGACAGCATCTTGCTACGTTGCCCAGGCTGGTCTACAACTCCTGGCCTCAAGTGCTCAGCCTTCTGAGCAGGGGGGATTACAGTGCAAACCATTTTGCCAGGCTTTACAATGAAGGTTCTAGATACAATTCTATTATGTAACAATTGGAATACTTGCATGCCTTATTCATTTGTTTAATAAATTCTACCAAGTACATATGTTTGTTGACTTATAATACAGAGACTAGAAGAACTGAACTACTTAATATTTGTTTTAAAAAGAGCCAATTTAACTGTTAACAACCATAGCTTCCCCATTGTCTGGAAGTACATTTTGAACTATATATATGATCTTTTGTCTCTGTGCAGCTATTCTTAGAAAATAAACCAGCTGGACACACTGGAGCCTGCCTGCTGCTACTGGAAGCATGTCCCAGCTACTCTGGAGGCTGAGGTGGGAGGATCACTTGAGCCCAGGAGTTCAAGGCTGCAGTGAGCTATGATCCTGCCACTGCACTCCAGCTTGGGCAACAGAGCAAGACCCCATCTCCTAAAAAATAAAAATAAAAATACTAAATAAAAAAATTATTTGCCAGGCCAACTAAAATTTCACTGAAGCTGGGTATATACAATGGCAAATTGGCTGTAACAGGTCAAACAAGATGCCTCCTTCCTGGGGAATTCATGCATTTATAAAAGAGCAAGGGAGCAAGAAGAAAAAGGAGAAATAAAGGGGAAAAAAACTTCAGCTGCTTACAAACTGAAAAGCTTAGAGAGTGCAACAGGAATACTGTCTAGTATTCCGCTTCCGCTAGATTCCCACTTTTAGGTCCTGCTTCTATAAAGCATTACACAAAAACAGGGACCATTTCCCTCAGGGACAGGAGTGAATGCAAAGGGTAACCGGACCTAACTAAATTTACTTTTCCCCAGTGGCTCAGCCCATCACCCACGACAAATGGGGCACTGAAACAGTCAAGGACTGCCCCTTCCAACTGGCAACAGAAATACCTGGATTCCAATCACCGTGCTGTTATGCCAGGAAAACACAAGCTCTCCAGGGAGATGGACCTGCAACCCCATCTATTATTTCCCCTGCTGAGGTAATCCGGATCCGGATGCAGATCCAGATGGAAAACCACTACAAATTCAAGGATGCTTCTCCATTGGAGTGGAGGTGCTGGGGGGAGGGTAGGGAAGTCAGAGGGAAAAATCCTTAAACACCCACATATACAAGGCAAAAAAAAAATTTTTAATTTTGATACAGAATGAATATAGGAGCAGTGCTTTTATATTTCTCAGCAACAAGATATGACGCTTTTGGTGTCCCCACCCCCTAGCAAAAAAAGGGAGCTGGGCAAAAGGAACGATCGGCGGTTATGAAACATGAAAGTTAACTGGGCGCTCCGCCTTGCCTGGAGGCTTGGGGGAGAGAAAGAGATTTCAGATAGGGATGAGACCAGATCCTGACATTCTGGTGCTCACAGCCAGCCCGCAATGGCTGGTGGCCGCCATGGGATCAAAGTGGGAAGGAGAGGGAGAATCCATGCAGTCGCCTAAGCTACGGAAAGCAGGGAGGACGGAGAAAAGCCACCGCTCCTTCAACTACAACCGCGATCCCAAAAGGAAGCCGGGACACCTTGGCAAAAAACGGAGGGGGGGGGGGGAAATTAAATAAATAAATAAAACCAGAAACCCCCCGCCCCTCGGGAAGGGCGCTCCGCTATTGGGCCGCGCGAGTGTCACTCAAGGGCGCCGAGTCTAGAAAAAGCGCACCGCGGCCGGGCAGAGCTCCCACACCGCGAAGGGCTGCGGTGGGGTCGAGTTCATCGGCCACCGTCTCCTCACACCCCAGCCCATCACCACACTCAGGGGGCCGCTAAGACGGTGTCTCCTAAGTCTCGTCCCCTGTCCCCAGCGGCCTACAGCTCCCTGCAGGCTGGCGGCCGCTTACCTGGCCGCCGCTCCCGCTGCCGATGTCAGGGTCAGGAGAGCGGCCTCTCGCGACCGTTACTCGAGGGAGCGCGCGCGCGCGCCCGGCGTCTCGCCGGTAATTGGCTGCCCGGAAGGAGGCGGAGACAGCCAAGGGTGGTGCGCGCGTCCACCTCGTCCTTCCCCCTCGCGCAGCTCCAACCAGAGATGTCCAACCCCGGGGGTGTGACAAGGGAGTGGCGATGCTGTGAAACCCTCTTCTCTGATTGGCTCTCTGGAAGCCAGCCGCTGCCACGAGGGAAAGAAGCTTCAGTTTGTCGCATGCGCAGTGAGTAAACATGAGCCTCTGGTAGATGAGGGAAACCGCGATCAGAGTACGGCGCGTGCGCAGATCAGGGATCGCGATTGCGAGTCCTCTGCTGCGGTAATTCGGGTTCCTCTAGAACGTTGAGGGCACTAGTCGGGTCCTGAGACCAGGTAAGCGTCTGCGGAGAAGTCAGGTAACCCTACGGCTGCCGACGACTGTCAAGGGCTCCGGAGAGAGGACTGGGAGCCGGGACGCCTGGGGTTTTCCCGTCTTGCGACCCCGAGTGGCGCAGCTAGTTTACCTGAGGCCGCGCTGGCGGCGGGGTGGGGCCGGCCCTGACACCCTAGCTCAGTTTTCTCGAGACCTGGTTTACGCTAGGTGCTGTGGGTCAGCCCTGGGGCTGTTCAAGCACTTAGGGCAGGGGAGAGGAGAGACTACCGTCCTGGAGAAAACGGTTCCACGGAGGCCCAAGGCGAAACAGAAGGATCCTCATGTACTTAGCTGAGTGGAGCTGTGAGCACGCATCAGGTGCTGTTTCAGGCCTGGCACGTAGTAGGGGTCAGCACTGCCCTTGCTAGGCTTCTGCGGAGATATTTGTTTTTTTAAATAGACGTTGCGGGGGGGTCTCACCATGTTACCTAGGCTGGTCTTGAACTCCTGGCCTCAAGCAATTCTCCTTCCTCGGCCTCCCAAAGTGCTGGGATCACAGGCGCCAGCCACCCTGCCCTACTTTTGAAGGACCTAAGGGAACCCGCTCTCCTTCCCGTGGGTCCCCAGCCCATTTCATGCGCACTGTGCAGGCCACATTCTTCAGCCTAGTTAACCTTTAAGGTCCTTCCAGCTCCTCGATTTCCCTCCAGGAGTTCTGGCTCACAGTAAAGGGACTTCCCTGGCACTATCACTTAGGCCTCCACGACCCAGGAGATGGATTTGCCCTTGGAATGACAGATTTGCCAGGAGGCCTTCCATCTCATTGGAGCTTCCTAAGTATACCTACCAATTTTTATTTTTTACTTTTTTTTATTTTTTGGGGGGGGTGGGGACAGGGTCTCAGTCTGTCACCCAGGCTGGAGGGCAATGGCGTGATCTCGGCTCACTTTAACCTCTGCCTCCCGGGTTCAAGCGATTCTTCTGCTTCAGCCTCCCGAGTAGCTGGGAATACCGGTGCCCGCCACCACATCCGGCTAATTTTTTGTATTTTTAGTAGAGATGGGGTTTTGCCGTATTGGCCAGGCTGGTCTCGAACACCTGACCTCAGGCCATCCTCCTGCCTCGGCCACCCAAAGTGCTGGGATTACAGGCATGAGCCACCATGTCTGGCAATTTTTAAAGGGTGAATTTGATATTATCCTGTTTTTCGTGATTTTTTAAATTATATTACATAATTCCAAAATATATTTTATGTTTAAACCAGGACTTGCTTCACTGAAGATGGTTTTATCTCTCAGTGCGAGCCTGCTGGGAAGTCAGGCTATATTTTTGGCATCACAGTGATCTCCTTAGTACCTGATTTCACAGACCAGAATTATGACCCCACCAAATAACATGTTTTCAGTAATGTCATGGCTTATCAAGTACTTCTTAAATTGGACCATACCAAGTAAAATAATTTACAAGCCACTGTTCTAGATGCCTTTTCACCCTAAGCTCTAAAACAAAGGCCCATGAAATAATCAGTTCCCAGTCTGGGTTTGTGTCATAAGATCACAGTGTATGTGGTGTGTCATTCTGAAGTTCCTCAGCCTTGTAGTTGAGAGATCTGACATGCTCCCATTTAGTGAGCACTAAGTACTTTACATTTATGGCAACATGTATGATTTTGTTCTCACTCTAGGTAGTAGTATCTCCATTTTACAGATGAGGAAAAGGTAGAGCCAAAGTTGCCCAGTAAGTAAATTGTGGCATTGAGACATTGAATGCAGGTCTGTTGGCCACAGAGCTCGCACTCCTCGGCAGTAAGACCTTTTTGGGACAAAAGAAAAAATGAGGGGAGTCGTCAAATACAGAATGTGAGTTACCTTTTTTTTTTTGGTGAGACAATATCTCGTTTTCTCACCCAGGCTGGAGTCCAGTGGTGCTCTCTCGGCTCACTCCAAGCTCCGCCCCCCAGGTTCATGTCATTCTCCTGCCTCAGCCTCCCTAGTAGCTGAGACTACAGGCGCCCACCACCACGCCTGGTTATTTATTTATTTATTTATTTATTTTGTATTTTTAGTAGAGACAGGGTTTCACCGTGTTAGCCAGGATGGTCTTGATCTCCTGACCTCGTGATCCACCCGCCTTGGCCTCCCAAAGTGCTGGGATTACAGGCATGAGCCACTGCGCCCAGCCTAGTAGTGAGTTATCTTAATTGTTCACAGTCACAGATCAAGCTTCTTGTTCTACTCTTTCCCTCTTCTCTACTGTACTTGACTAGTCTTTTTAAAAAGAGAAAGTTGGCCAGGCGTGGTGGCTCATGCCTATACTCCCAGCACTTTGGGAGGCCGAGGCAGGTGGATCACTTGAGGTCAGGAGTTGGAGACCAGCCTGGCCAACATGGTGAAATCCTGTCTCTACTAAAAATACAAAAATTAGCTGGGCGTGGTGGCTGGTGCCTATAATCCCAGCTACTTGGGAGGCTGAGGCAGGAGAATCGCTGGAACCCAGGAGGCAAAGGTTGTAGTGACCCAGGATCGTGCCACTGCACTCCAACCTGGGCAACAGAGTGAGACTCTGCCTCAAAAAAAATAAATAAACAAAAATTTAAAACAGAAAAAGTTAAGGAAAAGGAGCTAACATTGCCTAAGGAACTGGAAAAAGATCTGGAGATACTATGAAAGGTAATGAAACAAGGTGTAGAAAGGATAATTTAGTTTCAAAAATTGAAAATCTAATGGTCTTCCAAGATAGGTCTTCCTGAGATAATCAGGAAGTGTGCATCTCTTATTTTCTTTATTTGTATTAAAAACAATAATGTATCTGAAAGTGCTTTGCGGCTGGACGTGGTGGCTCACACCTGTAATCCCATCACTTTGGGAGGCTAAGGCAGGAGGATTGCTTGAGCCCATGAGTTCGAGACCTGCCTGGGCAACATGGCAAGACCCCATCTCTACAGAAAATTAAAAACTAGCCAGGTATGGTGGTACACACCTGTGGCCTCAGCTACTGGGGAGGCTGAGGCAAAGAAGCTTACTTGAGCCCAGGAGGACAAGGCTGCACTGAGCCATTTTTACTCCACTGCACTCCACTTGGGTCAGAGGGAGACCCTGTCTCAAAAAAAATACAAAATAGAAGAAGAAAGTGCTTTGGTTTGGGTATCTTTGAGTCCTAAACAAACACAAGGCATCATTAATAGAAATACAGGCTTTGAGACTTTTAGAAGAAAATATACAGTGGTGGTGTTGCTGCTTTTTCAATGTGTTTGTTTTAATAGTATAGTTGATAAATTATAAAGTTCCTGTTAGATGCCATAAATAGAACAGATATGAGGCTGGGCGCAGTGGCTCACACTTCCCAGCAGTTTGGGAGGCTGAGGCAGGCAGATCACGTGAGTTCAGGAGTTCAACACCAGCCTAGGCAACACGGTGAAGCCCCATCTCTACTAAAAGTACAACAAATTAGCCAAGCATGGCGGCGTGTGCCTGTAGTCCCAGCTACTTGGGAGGCTGAGGCAGGAGAATTGCTTGAATCTGGAAGGTAGAGGTTTCAGTGAACCGAGATTGTGCCACTGCACTCCAGGCTGGGCGACAGAGCGAGACTCTGGCTAAAAAAAAAAAAAAATATATATGATACACACAAATAGGACAGGTGTAATTATGTGGATTCAAAGTTTTCTGCTTAAAAAGAAATAAACAGGGCCAGGCACTGTGGCTCACGCCTGTAATCCCAGCACTACTGGAGGCCAAGGCAGGCACCTCACCTGACATCAGGAGTTTGAGACCAGCCTGGCCAACATGGTGAAACCCTGTCTGTACTAAAAAGACAAAATTAGCTGGGCGTGATGGCAGGTGCCTGTAATCCCAGATACTCAGGAGGCTGCGACAGGATAATCACTTGAACCCGGGAGGCAGAGGTTGCAGTGAGCCAAGATCACGCCATTGCACTCTAGCCTGGGTGACGAGCGAAACTCCAGCTCAAAAATAAAATAAAAATGAACAAGATACTGGGATTATGTGAAGGGAATGTTTTCCTCTTTACTTCGTTAGCTAGCTCTTGAATTCTGCAGCATTAAGCATTCAAGCATTAAGCCTGTTAAATTTAGGCCAGACCTAGAGTAGTCTCCTTTTCCTCCCGTCCCCCAAAATCAAAGACAACAGCTCTGCATTTCCTGCTCACTCTATTATGTTTTCTTTGTTTGAGAAGTAACTGTCTGCACTTACTGTGAGTGAAGGGCGCTTTACCTTCAGTGTAAAACCCCAACTCTAGGAGATGGCATGGTCTGTTTCAAACCTGACCAGCAATACTCACTAGTTCCATTTGAGAGGTTTCAGCCCTTAAGGATCTCAGGCACCTACAGCAGGAGAACGAGCTAACAGGAGGATGTGAAAGACAGAGAAAGGCTACTTTCTTTTTAACTACCATTTTACAGAGAGCACCAAAACACTTTTTTTTGAGATGGAGTCTCACTCTGTCACCCAGGGTGGAGTGCAGTGACCTCAGCCCACTGCAACCTCCGCCTTCAGGGTTCAATCCATTATTCTGCCACAGCCTCCCGAGTAGCTGGGACTACAGGTGTGCACCACCACACCTGGCTATTTTTTGTATTTTAGTAGAGGGGGTTTCACCGTGTTGCCCAGGCTAGTCTGGAACTTCTGAGCTCAGGCAGTCTACCCTCCTCAGCCTCCCAAAGTGTTAGGATTACAGGCATGAGCCACCACACCCAGCCCCAAAACACGTTTTTGAAACATGAATTATCATTAAGCATTTCTCAGAAAATCATTTTCCCCTCACTTAGCTTCTGGCACCACCTGCTGGCTGTTTTGTCTTTTCAAAGCGGCAACATTGCACGTTGGTCTGTTTAAGCTCAATGTTGTTTGGCCCTT